TGCAGATTCTGGAGGATGAGGGCGCTGCAGGGTGGCAGCAGCTGGGGGCCCTGCCCGCTGTGCTTGGTTTCCCTCCTGGTGCTTCACTCAGGGGCTGTGGCTTTGCCCCGTGGCAGGAGGATCAGCGTTTCTCTTCTTGGCAACTGTGAGGCTGGATGCAGAGATTCAGACACTGCTTTTACAGACGCAGCCGGGCATGTCTGGTGACGTTTTCTCGCCCATGTTTCAGGGAAGAAGTGAAGCTCCCGTGGCCTCTCTGGGGGCCTTTGCCTTTGCTCACTGGTGATACAGAGGTTGGCATCAGAGACCCCTTGGCACAAAACCAGGTGGGATACACACTGGGCTCTGCCCTGGGCACAGAAGGACACCACAAGCCAAGCGTCAGCAGCCTGTGCTTCCGCCGTGAAGTAAACCCTTTCAGTGGCTGTATTTTTCTGACATGGGTTTAACCTCAAAAGGGAAGAGCTTTGATGGCAGGTTCCAGCCTCCTCATCCTGGTGAGTGTGCTGAAGAGGGGGAAGCATTGGAGGGGGACAGATGGCACCTGTCTGAGCCGAAAGCCGCCATCAGATGGGGGAGGAAGTCCTAAAAATGGTCTCGTGCTTTCCATTCAGTGGCTGTGCCGTGGCCTCTCTGGGTGGCATGTGGATGCCAGCTCACCCCTGGGTACCATTTTGCCACGGCGTCTCTGTGCAGAAGCACACCCTTGATGACCGTGGTGCCGGGAAGCAGAGTCTCTGTTCCTCGTCCCCAGAGACCCACGGGAAGAATTCCTCTTCCTCATGGCAAGAGGGACTCTTCTCCCTCAGGGAGGCTCAGAGATGTCTGCTTCCCACCGCAGATGACATGGAGCTGATAGCCAGAGAGTCGAGCTCCAGTCCAGCTGCCGCAGACCACAGAGGCTTGATTGCCACTTCCTTCTAAAAATGGTGGAAGCAGGGATTGATGTGAGGTTGGCCACTCTGATTTTCATTTTACAGTTGAGGAAACTAAGGCTCGAGTACAGAAACACAGAGGACCCAAAGCTACAGCCTTGACAAGCAGAGGGGCCGGGGGCCCCGGGGCATTTTAGAGTCAGTGCTGCCCTCCCCAGCGGCTCCAAGGCCACCAGGCCTCTTCCAGAACGGCACGAGTGTGGCATGGCACTGTGCAGGGTTCCGACGACACCAGCGTTTCCAGAGGACGAGGCTCCTGTGGTCATTGGCGTGGCTTTTCTCACTTGATCAGCACGAACTCCCACAGCCTCTGCAGGATGCATGGTCCTTTGCCACGGATCTTTTTCACAGGAGAGGGAAGGAAGCTCAGAGGAGACGGACGCCCGCCCCAGGTCCGTGGGGGTGACGCGGCGCCGTGAGCCGGAGCCGAGCATTTTCGGTTCTTACTTCTGTGCTTTTCCATGGCAAAAAAGGTTTTGCCTCCTGAACACCAATGTGCTGGGTGATGGTGGATTCAGAGGCAGGGCAGGTCTTTCCAGAAGCCTCCGTGGGCGCGAGGCTGAGGGGTGGACACTGTCCTCCTAGGCGGGCCAGGAGCATGAGGGCCTGTGAGCAACAAGGCAGAAAGGTTGTCCCGGGACACGGAGACGGTGGCTGCTGGAAGCCCCGAGCAGGGCGTCCCGTCCCTCCCTGCTCAGGTCCGTGTCCTGGGCCCTGGGCCAAGCCTGGAGCGTGGAGGACCTGGCACCGTGTGGAGGGCTGAGAGGAGGCACCCTGCCCTGGGCCACCTTTCCAGCTGCACCGCAGGTGCCCTCCCCCCAGCCTCCAGCGCAAGCCCAGCACCAGGTTCCAGGGACCTGCAGCGCTGGCTGGACAGGCAGGTGGGCAGGCGGGCAGGCGGGCAGGCAGGTGGGGGCCGTGCAGACAGGCAGACTGCAGAGAAGAGCGTGTCCACATCCCACGCGGCCGTTCCGTCGCGTGTGTCGCTCCTCTGTCTTCGGAGTCTTTGCCTCCCCTGCTTACTTTCGGGTGTTCAGATGTTGCATGATTCCCCTCCTGTGCTCCCGCTGCCCCGCTTCCAGTCCGCAAAGAAAAGAGCCCAGTCAGCTCCTAGAGCACCCGTGTCTCCAGAGTCAGGGAGCTGGGAGCAGGGTTCCGTTCTGGAGGGGCACCCCAGCTCTGGAGCTGGGTTGTTCTTTGCCTTGGTGCTTGTTTCATAGCTGGGGAGGGGGTCTCCCTTACTCTCCTGGGGTGTTTGCACAGGGAGGAGGAAGGAAGAGGGAGGCAGAGCGGGAGGTGAGACAGATGCAGGGTGAAGCATGTTGAGGCGGGCCCGAGCAGAGACCTCTGTTCAGCTTAGGGCATGAGCGCCGTGGTTTCTGAGTCACAGGGCAGGGGGTTCTTGGTTCCAACTCTGCTGGTTCCTGGCACTGCTCAGCCTGAGCCTTCCACCCAGCTGCTTCTGTCTCTGTTGCGAGCTGACTTCAGGGGCCTTTTGTCATGGAATCCCTGCACTTTAAATCCCTCTATTTTAAAAACGTTTCGTGCCTCTGTGGCTGGTGCCTCACAGCCACTGTCTTGCAACAAGAAAGCATCCTAAATCCCGGAGGAAGACATTCAAACTCAAAAGCTCTTTCTCAGAAACGAGAAGCTTCTGGCTTATTCTTCCACTCCATATGCAAATGGCATGGGACTGCCACTGTCTTCCGACAGGGACACCCTGGGGGCTCTGAGACCAGCCTGCCTGCCCCTCTGTGTGCGGCTCCTGCAGAGAGGCCTCTGGAAGCCAGGCACTGCCAGCCCCAGCTCAGGGGGTTGGAGGGAGCAGCTGAGACCTTTACCACGCAGCTCTGGGAGGGTTCTCTGTCCATCAGGAGCAACGCTGGGAGCCCACACAGCCTGCTCAGCCTTGAGTTCCTGCTTATGCTTATCTTCTTTTTCCTTTCACTCCACAGACATGTAAATACCACACATGCACACAGACACACACAGACACACACCCCTACTGCTTTTCCTATCTGGACCAGAATGGGGTATCCACAGGTGCACAGCGCTGAGTGAAAAGAGCCGAACCCTGGAGCCTGCAGGACTTTGTGACGTTGTCGTGTGCACTGGAGTGTGACCCTTGGGCAGCCACGTGGGTGAAGTGCTGTGCAGAGTACGGACTTATCTTTGGCCAGGTTTTTAAAGGTACATGCAAAGACCCATCTCAGATGGCACTGTGGAGAACAGAGGGCTGTTCTCTGCTAAATAATTTTTTAGAAGAGGAATCAAACATTCTGCTGAGTTTCTTGCTGTGATCTGGATACCGAAGCCTGGGACACTCATCGTCTCCTCTCTGCTTGGCAACATGGGGGGTTTCTGGCGGAGGCGCCACCTCTCCGTGGCCAGGGTCCACTGAGGACAACGTGCCTCTGGTGGAGCAGGGAACGGGGCAGGGGGCAAGCTGTGGCCTGCCAGTGCGTCACACACCGGGTGCTGTGGCGTCCTCAGCTCAGCCCTCCCACGTCAGATATTCCTCCACGCAGTTAAAATCCTCCTTCTCACCAGCACTGCTCTCCAGGGTGGGGTCCGCAGGGTCGGCCCCTTCCAGGCTGTGAAGCCCAGGTGGCCACAGCCCCAGTGCGACCCAGGGAAGAGACCTCCCAGAAGGACAGCGGAGCCTCGGAAGCTACCTGGGGGCAGTGGGGGTGTTTTCATCACCAAGAGAGCTCTTGAAAATCAAGTGCAGCTTCTCAGCAAGGACGCAACCCAAGCTACACACAGACTCTCGGGACGGGCGTGCAAGCCACCGAGGCTCCGCGGGTGCCTGGCTGCCTCCTCCCCTGTGGCTTGAGGAAGAAATCCTTACCCCGAGCCGCAGCTGCCGGTCACTCCAAGTCCCACGACCACCCTGCGGTGCTCACCTGCTCCTTGTCTGGCCCCGGCTCCCCCAGGGCCCTTCTGCCCCCAAGCCCTGGTTCTGCTGCTGCACATTCAGCCACTGCCCTGGACTGGCCATCCTGGGGCCAGCAGGCACATCCTTAACTTGTAAACCACTCCTGGCCCGCAGCGGGGCAGCCCTGGACGCCCAGCCATTAGCTGATGGCTGACATGCGGCCACACCTGGTGAACACTTCCCCTTCAGGGGCTCCAGGTTTTGGCGTCCACAGGCGTCCTGCCCCCCCAACCCCATGCTGCTGTGCTCCCTGCTGAGTGTAAACGCTCCCATCTTGGTGCTCCCTCACACTTGGTGCTCCATCAAGCTCAGCTGTGAAATGCTCGTGCTATTTCAGTACTGAGCACGTGTTTCCAATCTGTTGCATATTCCCAGGCTTTAAAAGCCAGGTGCCAAGGTGCAGATGGTGGTGGCTTGGACCTGGAAGGGGTCTGGTGGACGCGGGTTTGTGGCGGCCGCTCCTAGCGTGCAAGCGGCGACTCCGGTGTCAGCCCTGGGCCTGCCCGCTTCCCCTCCTGCCTTCTTCGTGATTACTCCTGGCACCGTCGTGTTTTGAGAAGCCGTGGCAGCCGCATCAGCAGATGAGGACAGGCCACAGCGACAGCCCACTTCCTACGCAGAGCCCAGCTGCACTCAGGTGAGGACAGAGTCCAGAGGGGCCGGACGTCCCAAGGGCACTCATCGTTTAGAGCTTAATTTAACCCATGTTTAGCAAGTGCTAAGTGTCTGCTAGGCACTAGGTTTCAAAGCAAACTCAGGCACGGGTATGCAAGTGGCCCAGGTTCAGGCCAGCCCTTGGATACCAGAGCCATCCCAGGCCCCCCACGCCCTTCAGGCCTGGGAACAGCGTCACCAAGCTTTGCCCACCGTCCTGAGCTGACAGCCACGCCCTTTGCTCCCCTCCAAGGATTCAAAGGCAGGCCCTCCTTGGGCATTTGTTTCTTCCTGCGTCTGCTTTCCCCCCCGGGGGAGGCCTGCCTCCCTGCTTTGACAGCCTCACAGATGCCTCGGAGACTGGGGTGGACTCCTGGCAGTGCCACTGCCTGCCCTGCGGGATAGTGGCTGAGAGTCCAGGCAAGGGCAGGTCACCCCTGACCCCGATGGGTGGGGACCCGCCGGCATCTTACCTTGTACATGTTGCACAGCCCAGGCTGGCTGCGGGCATGAGAGGGCAGAGGGCTCCGGCCCGGCTTTAGCCAGGGTACCTGCCGGGGGACACAGAGTGGGCTGTGTGAGTCCGGGTGGGCGCCACTGGCAGTGCCCCAAAGTCCTCCAGCAAATCTCCTCTAGAGCTGGCTTGGCACGAACCCAGAGGGAGGAGGAGTGAGCGGGAGATGGAGGATGGGGGGCGACGGTGAATGAAGAAGCTGTGTACAGAGATGGGTGATGGACGGACCAGCAAGAGGTTATGGCGAGAGGAGAGGGCAGGCAGCGCCCGAAGGACTCAGAAAACCAAGAGCAGAAGGGAAATTTTAAGAATCCTCTCCTCCAAAGTCTATTCTGAGGGCCTGTAGCAAACGATGGGACCAAACACGGGTGCAGGCACCAGCTGTGTGAGAGTTCTACAGTCAAGTGCAGAAGGCATTTCCCAGTCTAGAGCAAAGGGCACTAAAGGCTTTTTGATGTCTTGCATGGAGTGGATACATTTTACATCCAACTTCACTTGCACAGTTGTGTTTTTTCTTTTATAGCAAGTGCGTTTGCTTCTGCATCGTATTCCCCCATGGGGGAGGTAGCTGGCTGGGTAGACATGAGGCGTCCCATTGATAGTTTTCAGGACATGCAGCCTGTAACCCCAGCTGCCTGCCACTCCCAGAGCCAGAGAGGGAGGAAAAATGCAGGTGGAAGCCATTCCTGCTCTGCGAAGTTCAGTGAACCGAGGACTGGCTGTTTCAGATTCTCTGCAGAGCATAAGGAAGTAATTTTAGGAGCAGCAGTGTTCAAAGTCACTTTAGCCAACTACTTAGAGCTGGTTTTCCTGCTGACATCCTTCCTTGCTACTGAAGGTAGGAATTTAACGTAAGTAGGAAGTTAACCTTCCTCAGCAGGAGCAGGAGCTGTGCACTCACCTGAGCTCTGTTATAAATCTTCCTAAATACCATTTGCTCCTGACTTACTGTATTCTGTCAGTTGCACGAGAGTATCTGCTGCATCCATGAACTCTGAAGGCTGCAGTTTAGACTGTGATTATAGAACCAAGGTAAATGCTCTGCAAGAACTGTCTATTTCTTGACTATCATCTACAGCAAAATAAAGACAGAGAAAGGAAAAGAGAGACTCACAGTGGTCAAGAGATGAAATCAGGGTAACAGGCATCAGGAGATGTACTGGATGCAGATGAAATGGATCCTTTTAAACAAGTTAGCAGCTGAGTATGTGTGAGAATAGAGTAGTTCTGCACGGAAGAATGTGAGCACATTCTAGAAGTATTATGGAAAGTGAACATTCTGGGGTTTTCGGAGGCAAATCTGTGGTGTGTGCTTAGCTCTATGTCTCCTAACAGATTCTCCCTGCATGAGAGAGGCTATTTCTATATTGGCAGGAATTTCTGGTGACTTTAATTCATGATATTAAACAGTAAGTAAATTGAGTATTCACTTCAGAGGATGTCTCCATGGACGAGACCATGGGAGCTGCTGTCCCCCTAAGCAGTGGCTGTCCCCCTAAGCAGTGACCCCCATCAACGGGTGTCCATGAGCAAGTGCACGCTATGCATGTGGCCATCAAACGGAGAACTTTCCATTTATTTTCCCTCATCTCCTACAACGGCTCTTCTTAAGAAGAGGATCACCATTGTGAGACATGGTCTCATGGCTCTGGTGGGCTGGTGTGAAGCCCCTCTGCTGACTCCCCCTCTACCCATGGAGAGGCAGGTGGCTGGGGCAGATATAAGGCATCCCACTGATGGTTTTCAGAAAATGCAACTGGTAACCCCAGCTCCTGCCACTTCCAGAACCAGGGAAAGGGAGGCCAAATGCAAAGGCCAGAGAAGCTGAAAGGCAAGAACCGTCTCAAGAGAAATTGTGGGTGCTGAGCCTACTTTTATGGGTCTCCCTCAAAAGAGGTCAGTTTTCTTTAGCTGTTTTTCCTTTTTTACTATGTTTTTTTTAAGTAGAATGATTTCAGAGCATTAAGAATATGCTAATAGACATAAAGGAAAAAAAATTTACAAAAACATTGAATCAGGGTTTGATAGGAAATGTCCATAGTTCTTAAATTTGAATCAATATCTAAGCGATTTCCACAGGAGTGCCATTGCATGTTTATTTCCTAAGGATGATCTGTTCCCTCAGAGGTCAAGCCGAGCTCCTGATCCACCGATCAGAATTGCCTGTTATCAAATGGCTAGTCTTTTTATCAAAGGAAAATCAATGATGAGAGAAATGAATGCTTTAAAATGAAAATGAGTTTGAAGGGAGGAGTTAAGACAAGGGTCTGACGGGACATGAACGGCAGGGCCACCTACAAGCCAATCACTCATCTTTGCTCTCATTTCTGATTTTCAAGGACCCTGAGTTTCACCTTAATCTCATACACTCGTTATCACCCTTCAGAGAGCCAGTGCCTTCCCCTTATTTCAGTGCCACAAGGTTCCCGTGACCCCCCTTGAGTGAGCTCTGCGGGCACCGGCCCCCATGTGCGCGTTCATTTGGGGGGTGCTGGTGGGGTGGGCTGAGTCGCGGACAGCGCCTGCTCAGCGTCCACCTGCCCTAACATTCGCGGATGACGCTTTGAGAGAAACGTGAGAAACTTGAGGCAGAATCAGAACAGTCATAATAGAAAGACCAGAACACCGGACCGTCGGTGGAGAGAAGAGGGTAAAATGTGTTGGTGTCATAAAAGCAGAGGAGCAAGCAACTGTGACTTTCCCGCACAGAAGCACAGGAGCTCTGGTGCTCAGACTTACCTGCCAGCTGTGTCACCAGGCCACGGAAGTGCCGGCCACACAGCACACTGACGTACGCAGGGCAACCAAAAACGACAACTTAAGAAAGTTCACGTGCAATTAGTACACTGTCCATGGTCTGTTAAACTGTTTAATGAATGCATGAAATGGCAGAAAAATATATAAGGCAAAAAGCTCAGAATTAAACCTGGATACAACCACCAGAGGCAATCACCAGCAAATCCATGACCATGATTCACAAACGTATCGCTTGTACAGAGGAAGTTGCAAAATCACTGCCAGTACAGACATGTCCAGGCTAATTAGCTGTCGCCTGTTCACACAGCAGCAACATATGCAGACCACAGAAGGACACAGGGAGGCTGGTGGCCAAGCCAGGGAAGCCTCCGATCAATAACTGATCAGGGCCACGGGACTTCGAGAGGAGTTCTTCTAGGAAATCTCATTAGGTGTTTGAGTGCAGAAACAAATGCACCCCCTCCATATTTGGATTTTCTCTAGAAGAATCTCTGGCCAACTCTCTCATCCAATGGAGGTGCTGGGTGGCCAGGTCAGTGACCACGCAGGCTCATGATGAAAGAGATGGAATTTGGTTCTGGGTGCAGGCTGCCCTCAGGGGAGGGGATAGCCCTGTGCATGGCTGGCCCTCCGTGTAGCTACTGTATCCTTCATGTGTCTCCAAATGCTACACCCCGCCCCCCCCCGCGCCCCCCCAACAGTGGGATTACAGAACAAAGTTACAGAATTAGGATCTCATGTTAACAATGAGGAATTAGGTTACTGTAGAACTAAAATATGCTTAATGAAATTAAAATGCAATGGAAAATAAATCAGGCAACAGAACATTGTGATTAATTCACAGCACTGAAGATACCCCACAGCACTGAATGACAGAGTTCTTCCCCCATACAGCCAGAGGCACAGAAGTCATACTGAATGCTGAATTACAGAATACTGAGAACAGGTTATAAATGGAGGTCTTAATGTCAAACAGAAAAATAGACAAAATCATCAGTAAGAAGTTAGCTTTTAAAAAACTTCCTAAGGGTATATGGCATGGAGAGGCAGGGGCTAGGGTGTCCTGGCTGCATTCTGTTTTGGGAACTGCCCGCATGGTACATCCCTGTGTCCTGCTTACGTGTTTTGTAAAACCTTCCTCTCTATCAAAAGGAAGGAGTGGTGTCCAAAGCCAACACCTCCAGGCTCTGCCTCGTGCCATTCAAGTGGCCTCAGACATCAGCACTGGCAGAAGACTGATGCCGGGGAGGTCACTTGGAGAGGAAGCCGCCGGGCTAAGCACGTGCCAGTCTTGGCCCTCAGTGCCCACCCATTCCTCACGCGACCCTGACATTCCGGGGAACTGGGAAACGTGTTCCTTAAAGGCAACAATCGTCCTTTCTTTGCTCTCACAACAAAGGAGCGTGTTCTCTGTGAATGCACTTTTCATTTATGGCTCTCAAAAGAATATGCCTCCTCAAGGAATTTTTAATGTACTTTTCTTGAATGTCAGCTCCCAGCGACACAAGCATGGGTGTTGTTAGGGCATTCCCGGGGCCGGGGGCGGCCCCTGCAACATGTGGTACCAGTGGCCACGTGCCCTCAGGGGAGGGAGGGAGAGACTCAGGAGGGTGGGAGGGGACAAACAGCCCCTTTTATAGGGTCGTGGGGGGCTCCATTCAGAGTCTGGTAGGAATCTGCCAGGATAACCCTTGTTCTAGATGGAGAAGCAGAATAACTGTGTTCCCAATGAACTGCCGGGCAGGCAGGGCAGCGGCCGTGGTCCCGAGAGACGGGGCTCAGCCTTCCACCCCTCCTCCTTGCACACCTCTTCAGTCTGTCTGAAGGACCTTCCTAGCAGATAAAAACTGGGGCTCTTCTGATTTGTAAACAGAGCAAAAAATAAAAACAAAACCAAAAGTTCATCCACGGCAGCCCATACCAATGAATAGCCCAGACTTTTAGGGCCATTATGGGTTTGTAGCTGGGTGTAGAAAGAGTTAAGCTTTCATCTTCCATGTTTAAAACCCTTTGTGATAAAACAGTTGAGTGGAACAAATACACATCCCCGCTGTGCCCTTTCCACAGGGAAGCCTCACAGGCTGCTGTACGATCACGTGTGCAAATGTTACTACTTTTTGCCTTTGGTATCAAAGGGCAAGCCTGTTCATTAAAAAATCTTCTATATTCAATCCTCCATAGTGAAAAGAATTGATATTTTAAAATTCTTAAAGGAATTATGTGAAAATTTTTATTTTTAAAATTTTTGAAAAATGTTTTTTCTGGGTCCTATTTTGCAAAGATAACTATTTCTGAGACTAGAAGATTTTCTTTCAAAATATTGAAGCATATAAGGGATTTAAGACAATGAATGCTGTAATCTTAACATAAAAGAAGAAACACACATCTCTGCATTTCTATATCCATTTTGAGATAAAGTCACAATGATATCAATGCTTTCACCATTTCATTTCAACTTAAACCATTATCTCTGACATGAAGCTTGTTTTATAATACAATGCTATCCAACGATTTCACCTTTTCTGCAGTTAATACATTTTTTTTTCTGTACCTTGCATTGAGCAGAATGATTCAAGCTTTCAAAAGTGGTGATGCTGTATGCATGATGGGTGCTTAGCGTAACAGCCACACTTGATTGCACAACCTGAATCCATGCATATCAGGCGTGGTTTGAAAAAGTGCTTCCAGTTGAAATTAGCATGAGAAATAGGTTGGAACACCAACATTTCAGGGTGGGGGAGTACTGCCACAAAGGGAAAGAAAACGTCTACAAATACACTGAGAGAACTAGTCAGACTATCGATTCCAGAAGTACTGTGGATACACCAAATGTTATTTACAAGTAAGTCATGGCAAGTGTCACAACATGAATTCTCAACTCAGAGCAGATGGTAGAGATGTTCACAGTTGCCTGAAACTTCAGTGTGCTCTCATGCCCACAGGAAAGGTAAAGCTGACATTTGTGCTTATCTTCAACAATCTCATGATCAATAAAGAATTGCAGCTGGAGACTAACGCAAATTCTAGGGATTCCTTAACTCCACAGATTACCCTGTGGTTTTTATGATGGCATGTTAACAGAATGAGGTGTTCTGTTCCACATTTTATTCAAAAGCCTTTTACGTTCCCACAAGGCTTTCCAGAATTCCAGAATCGGCACTGCACACAGGCAGAAAAATAGCTGCCTCTTACAGGGTTTGTGAGAACACCCAATAAACCAGGATGTTTTGGGGAAAAACTTCTTTCTCACCAAACTTACACAACCACCAAGCACTCTAAGTGTCATGTGAAAAGCTATGCCTCTGCCATCTGAATGCCACTCAGGAGCCAGTGCTTTGATGAACCTGCAGCCACAGGCTTATCCAGACAAGCAACGGCAGAAGGCACACCGACACACTGGACCCCAGAGCAGGGTTTTCTTTTTCTTTCTTGTGATACGTTTTTATCCACAGAACATTCGCTTTTAAACTTCTAAAACTCTATATGCAAATTACTGGAATCACAAAATAATAAAGCTTTGATTCATAGATACTCATTCATCCCTCCACCCCTTCCACTTTTCAGATCACAGAGAAAGCTTGCTCAAGGAGGATTTAAATTCAGGAGTTTGTTCAAAAGTCTTCCTCAACCTCAATTGTGTGATTGTTGCAGAGCAACATGAAGCCAACAGCACTGACTCCAGGAAAAACGAGCGTAACCCAGTGCTGAACTCCAACGTGTGGGCTGCAGAGGCAGCTCAGTCACAAAGTCGGCAAGCACACACCACCAGAGACCCCAAAAACGTGGCTCTCTTTCTGCAATGCCTGTGCCCGGGCCCCCTTAGAGCTCCACAATTCAGCATGTCCTTACATTCCCGAGCCACACCCCGGGCACCATCCCTTCTGAGGAAGACAGAGGGTGAGTTACATGAAAACAACGTCCTAAGCAGCAATTCAGGCCCACAATTTTGGGCTCAGATGCATTCTCCAGCACAGACCCAGACCTTAGACAGCAAGAGGCTACATGCCAGTTCTTCCTCTAATGGCTTAGTTCACCTACTGATTTCTCCTTTGCTTTTTCCACTTAATCTAAAGGTCCTCTACTCCTCAGAGCTCACCTTGCCAGAGCCCCGCTTGGGCACACCCCTGTCACCTCCAAAGAAGCGCCCAATGGAGTCAAGGATGCCCGTGTCTCTGTGCCTTGGGAGGAAGCCATGCCTGGCATGGTCCATGGTACTTGCTGTGGCCAGGTACTTGGATCCGTGCCTCTGGGAGGGTCTCTTCTGTGATGCCATCACATCCAGGCTCTCGGAGGTGGCTGCACTGTCTTCTTGGATGGTCTGGAGCTCGTCGGACTCAGAGGGCCTGTCTTTGAAGGTGTTGTCTTCCCTCCCCGGGGCATCTCGGGAAAAGAGGCGGATCAAGTGGGGGCGGCTCCCTGGGTCAGCTGGGTGGGCGTCCTGCCAGGCATTCTTTGGGTCTGCTGTGCGCTTGGAGTCAGTCACCGCTGTGTCCTGAGAGGAGGTCCCATTGTTCTGGTTCACATCTGCCTCTCCTGCAAACAACAATGAGATATGAATACGGGCCTGTGCAGAGCCCAGCGCCGGACAAAGCAGCTTTCTTTGAAGGGCCTTGACCTAGCTGTCTCCTATAAAACCCACAGAATACGTGCAGTGCTCAGAGTCCTTGGCCTAGGATGGAGCTAACCTGGAGGGAGCAGCCTTATTGCAACTCTGCTTTCAGAAGGCCCTGGGAATTCCTCCGTTACTTGAGATTTGGCACCCTGGGTAAAATGCACCCAGGCTTCCCGATGAAGTAGCCTGGGCATACGGAGCAGCCACATCAGTGTTTCTTCCTGGGTGCTGCCACAGCTGTTCCCCAGAGAGCCCAGATGTGCAGGCACTTTGATGGGACACTGACCGCCATGAGGCCACTGGTGCATACGTTAAATATTCAAGGAGCATTTATTTGACAAAAGGTGTTTTTAGTTTTCTTGGTAGGAGTGAAACCTGCCACATCTTTTTGCAATTCATGCATAAAAGAAGTGGGGCATTTAGAACGTTTTCAATCCCAGATTCCACAAGAGGCCTCTCGCAATAGAGAATTGCTTATTCAGGACATTTCTACTTGGCTTCTCCTCTGTAAGCAGAAACAATTAGAAATCTGAAGTGGGACTGAGATATTTCATGTTGCATACCACCATCGCATAGCTTTTCCAAGAAATACAGCATTTCTGTCACCAATGGCAATAAATCCATTTTGCTTTCAAGTTACAGTGTTAGGTTTAAATGAATTATCATTTAGTTTCCTCTTCAAACGCTTATCTGCAGAAAACAGGTTTCACTCACATATTCCTGTAATATTACTCATCCATTCATTGATCCATCCATCCACATATCAGTCCATTTACCCATCTGTCCATCCTACACACACACACACACACACCCCTATCCATCCATCCACTCATCCATCCACCCACCCATCCATCTATCCACTCATGCATCCATCCATCCACATATCAGTCCATTTCCCCATCTATCCATCCATTCACCCATCCATTCATCCACCCATTTATCCATCCATTTGCCTACCTGTCCATCCATCCATCCATCCACTCATGTATCTACCTGTCCATCCACCCACCCATCCATCTATCCACTCATGCATCCATCCATCCACCCACGTATCCATTTGCCTAACTGTCCATCCATCCACCCACCCACCCACCCATCCATCCATCCACTCATGTATCTATCTGTCTACCTGTCAATCCACCCATCCATCCATCCCCCGTCCACTCATCCATCCACCCATCCATTATTTATGAGTACTGAATAAGTGTAATGTACTGTTCCCGATTTCTGAGTTACAGTGATGAATGAATTCTTCCATAGAGCCGTAGGGGGAAGCATACCCCTGCAGACCCCTCGACTTGAGATTTCCAGCCTTCACAATGATCAGAGAATTCCTGTTGTTTTAATCCCCCAGCGTGTGGCAATTTGTCTTGGCAGCCCTGGGAGACTCACTCGATGTGCAACTTCACATCAGGCAAGGGGACAGGAAAGCAGAGAGGGCTTGGGTCAGCAGGAGGGTCCTTGTGGAAGTTGCCTCTGGACAGGATGCAAGTCTAGGCCCCGTGAGGAACTGGGGAAGTAGGGGAGGGTGCTTCTGGCAGTGGGGGAAGGCAGGCCCCCCTGGAAGTCTGTGCAGAATTGGCTCCCTGCGGCAGGAGTGGCAGCAGAGTGGCCGTGCTGGTCCTGGGTCCAGGAGGACGGCAGGGCTGAGGATGTCCCAGGCCAGGCAGGAGTCTGGGAGGCCGGAAGACCTGGGCAGGGAGCTGGGGGGCCCCTTGCTGGCTGCGGACGACGGTGGAAAGGGCAGAGCAAGCGGCTCTGCGGCATGAAGACAGGGTTTGGTTTGGGGAGCAGTGGGGCCTGAGGAGGGGAAGATTCTGGTGAGCGGCCTCTGCGGAGGGATGCCGCTGCGATGATAGGACCCAGATGCTAGGGGCACCCTGCCTTCTATCCTGAGCAACTGGGAGAGGGACGGGGCTGGGAGTCTGGCTGGGACACTAAGGAGAGAAGGTGTCTGGCCTGAGGAGAGTGGGTGCAGCCAGCCTGCCTGGGGAAGGTATAGACGGAACCAGCAAACAGCTAAGAACACCTGCCACACAATGAGGAGTGGGCAGCTGGCAGATATTCTTCCAGGTTGGTTTCCAAAAGGACCTCTTTCAGTAACTGCCCTGGGGTCCCCTCCACCTCTCCAGTTTCCACGACTTGCTGGGGGAGCTCCTGGGATGTAGGATACGGTCCCGTCACTGCTATGACTCATTACAGTGAGAGGTACGGTGAGGTTCCAGACCCCTCCTCACAGTCACGTGGGACGCTGAATTTCTCAGTATGTGCTGTGACCTGTGTGAAGTGCTCACATGCTGTGACCCCACGTGTTAAAAGCTGTTACTGAGGCTCGTTAGCGACCCCTCCCCAGGGCTTTACTGGGGGTTGGTCTTCTAGGCTGTCCCTGCGTGGTGCCACCAAGATCCCAGGCTCCAGAGGAAAGAGGCCGCTCAGCACGGACCGTGTGGTGCCCACAGCCGCGCAGGCACAGCGAACTGCCCTCCCGGTTAGGGAACGGTGGCTGGGAGCCCTCTGGAAACTCAAGATCCCAGACCACACCCCGGGACCTAGCTCGCCACAGGCCTGCCTAAGAGTAAACGGTCCCAGGCCTGTGGCGTCAACTATTTTCTGCACGATTACTAAGGCGGAAAGCCATAAACACGCTGGCGAGGAACAGATGCTTCTCATGTGCTTTGGTTCACGCCAAAAACTTTGAGGGCATTTCTTTACATGGATTGAGAAGACACTTAACTGGGGGGATTAGGTTGTGAACCTCCATGTCTGGAAGAGTGTTATCCCCTGAGAAAGCGTCCGCCATCGTCCACTGGGTACAGCCTCGGAACTGGCAACTCTGAAGATGAACCCGTAGGAGCAGCCTCTCGGTGGAAGATTCCAGCTCTCAGCAGCAGCAGCTCTCAGGGAGAGTGGGGTAGACGCGTTTCCCACCTGAGTTACATTCGTCCTTGGGGGGGTTAGGTAACCCCCCTCCTGTGCACACACACCCACGTGTACACACACACACACACACACACAGGCAGAACGCCATCAGAATTGGAACCCGGGTTCAGCGATTCTCGTAGAAACTTCAGTAAGAATGTGATTGCCTCTTGCATTGCTAGTGCTATTGACGAAGCCAGATGAAAGCCTGCTAGCCCCCCAGGTGGCTGACCTCGGGTGATGCGTAGATAAAACAGCGCCTGTGAAGACGCACCCTCTGCTTTTAAACCATCGCGAGCACATGGACTCCAGTGCAGCTCCTTTATTTCTCAGTGTATTTCCCAGGGTCTTTGGCTAATTGCAGTGATCGGCCTTTTCTGAATCTGAGAACACACAGGCCCCTTCAGCACCGAGGTCTCCTCTGGGGGGTTCGAGGAGGGCAGGGCCCCAGTTCTGGGGCTGGGAGGGAGGGCAGGAGAGGAGAGAGGCGGGGTTGCTCTCCTTCTGCTACATATATCCATGGACGTTTGCAGACTTACAACACTTGCTCATTGGAAAAAGAATTCCAACGCTTGTGATTACTTTTTTTAAAGCAAAATCATCTGGGTCAAGAAAGTGCCCTGTAAGTGTGACTTACCATGCGGTCCACATAAGACCCGGTTCCCAGGCAGGCTAACCTGCTCTCACATACACTATAGATGCCTGCCAACAAAGTGTAAGGCCAGCGGTCGGAACCCAGGGGTGTGGTGTCCTCGTCCATGCACCCAAGGGTGTGCATACAGCTGCTGGTGTGTCTGTGCTGGCTGAGTCCTATGCCTGAAAAATAGGTCAAACGCTCCAGGACAAGCCTGGAAAAGGCAGGGCCAGGTGGGGCAGCAGACGTTGGTGGCACTGTTCTTCTGTGACCACTGGTGAAATTCAACTGCATAAGAACACCAAGCTTTAGAACATATGATGAAATACATCGTTGCATTGTAGTGTTTGAAAAAGCAACATGAAGAACGTGGTGGTCAGTACAAAGCTGTAGTTTTTGCAGGCATGCAATGCTTATTTATAGGTTGCAAGAACAACAGAAATAATTAGTCTGATTTTATAGCCGTGCTTTATATTCTCTGGCTAATATAAATGAATGCAAATGTGGAAGGAGAACAATCGCTATATTGTACCTAATTAAATGCATTAACAAAACACAAGAACATCTGAATACTAATATTTTTACAACAGTTGGGCTTTGTGTCCCTGAATGCAGTTATTTGTAAGGCACAGAGAAGGGCATTTGTGTCCCCAAAGTAGCTTCTCCCAACACACAAGAAGCATGCGAAAAAGTCTAAATCTATGGATGTGCAGCATTTTGGTAGGGGCAAGCAGGTTTAGTTGGTTGACATTACCTTCAGTTGAACGAAATCTGAACGCAGACTTTTAAATTTGGGTATTTATAGGGCAGAGCATTTATGACACAATTAGTGAAACATGAGGATCCAAATTTCCCAAAATATGTACTCATATTTCCTGTAGTTTTATTCGATTTCTGCAATTGCAGGAAAACTTCCTTAAAGGACGCCACCACACCGTAATCGTGCTGCTGGAACAATGCTGGCCTTCAGGGCGTGATGGCCCTGAAATCACTGACCTCTGTGCGCCACAGCACGGGTAGCGTGTATTTCTGGGTGGCTTCTGCAGCACAGAAGTGCCCGGCGGGACACAGCTGTGATATTTGGGGGATAGTGTTTACTATTTCAAGAAACTCAGGTGTCACTACCTGTGGAAGCTCAGATTCAGGAGAGGTGGTGTTCATGACAGGCCGCGTGGCCTCATTTTTACAGCGTGTCTGCTGCTTCCATCGGCTCATCCCCAGCACACAGGCGTCACCAAGTCCTGCCACTCCTTCCTTTGGAGTATTTCTTACGTGACCACAGCTCCCACTTCCCTTACTTGCTACGGCTTTCTGCTGGGGCCGTTGTCGCGTCATCACGGCCAATCCCCTCTTCTCCAGGCTCTCTTC